ACGGAAGACTTTGAATGTATCTGGAAGTCTTAATTTTATAACTTCAAAATCAAGCAGGTGCAGGTTTGCTTGGGGGTTGTGCATTATCTGTTAGCACCCAGTGCCTGGTGGTGTGCAAGCATCAAGAGTTGTGCCATGGATGTCTCCATGTGCTTGTGCTCGTGTCTCCGCTACCTGGAGGTGAAGCATGAGCCACCGTTAATAGCACAGCACTCATCCTGAAAAGCCTGCTTACATTGCCACTCTTTTGTAGAGAAGGTATAGAAAAAGGCAACAGAAATGTTTGAAAAATAAAATAGTTTCCAAGTGACTAAACAGACTTGGACTGTCAGCCCAAAGAAGAGATGGCTGAGGTGTGAATGAGCTAGTCTTCCAGAAAATCCAAAGTAACATTAGGAGAGTGACTGCTACCTCACCCAGTATGAGGAAATCAAAGCAGTACACCTCAAATAAGAGGAGCTATTTCTTCTCATGTTGTACTGTCAAACTGTAAAATATATAGCCTGAAGGTATTGTGGATGTTAGAAGTTTACATACTCAAAAAATAACTGCATAAATGGTGGGGAGGGATGGAGCCATTGAGGACAGCTAAGATGGTACTGCTGTCTTACAAAAGATGTTATTTGTGCTTCACTAGAAGCTGTCGAGTTTATCTTGAGGCTACCAGTGCATGGCTGTACCACTCTTAAACTCTTCTATAAGCATCTGCTATGAGTTGCTAGGAGAGACAGAAAGTGGAGGTAGGTGAGCCTTTGGACTCAGCAGCAAATCCTGGTTTTATGTGCCGAAGAGGAAGTGGTTGTAAGGAGGTAGCTTGTTTCTGTGAACTTCTGATGGCCTGTCTATAACAAGAAGGCAATACAGTATTTATAATGAAAAAATGAAGCAACACTCTCATGGAGAAATAACCTTTTATTAAATTATCTGAGAAATTAACTTACCAATACACTCAAAAGGAAGAAACCCTAGATATTTCAGGTGCATAGGCTTTTCTCCAGGTAGGTCAATTTAATGAAAAATGTGCTTTTTAGGTAAGATTTCCTGTTCTTACCTCTCAAGCATGCCTGTTTCTCTCATGCTTTAGAAAGGAAGCATTAGTAAAGGGAAAGGTTGAACTTGGAAACACTGTCTCATAGACAGTGAGTGTGGTGGGGGAGTGGGGAGGTTATATATCTCTATTTTTATTGTTTTGTATCTCATGGGAAGGCACACTTGTGTATTTGAGTTTCAGGCTTCCTAAATAACCTCCTTGTAACTGATTTCAAATCTGAGGTCACAAAGCCTAGGCATGTAGATAGTGAAAAGGTGTGAATATTTCTTTATTTAAATTTTTGTCTGTGTTGAAACAGATGTTTGTTACCTAGGCAAACTGACAAAAATAAGCAGTGCAGCCAAGTGTAACTGATTATGATAAAAATAAACATTCTCCTTGAGGGCTGCAATGTATGTGTTGTGAAACAAGCCCTTTGCATCACGAATGTTTCTCACTTCTACTCCTGGCATTAGAAATTTCTGATTTTATCTTTTTATTATGTTAGCAAGTAGGCTATGTTCTGACTAGGAATGAGTTGTGCAGTCTGTTCATTAAGTGCTGAACTATTGTTTTATAATAAATTCATAGCTTGTAGAGACTTAAGTGGAATTTTAAAACTCTTCTATCAGAACTTTAGGGATGTGATTTTTTTTTTTTTAAAAAATTTTTTTTCCCTTTAACTTTCCCAACTGAAAACTGCAGCAAAAATTTTACCAGCTCCAGTGTTCTTTAAAATTGTATCTTGAACTATGGTACTAGAGTGTAGTGTTAAAGTCAGACAGATTAATTTTTCCATCTTCTGTTTTAAAATGAAAAGTTTGAGGTTTTCCTCCCTCAGCTGATTACTGCTCAGAGCCTTTCAATTGCTTGTTTCATGGGGATGTTCTATATTTACATGGTATTGCCATGGTTTTTCTTTGTGGTTTAACCATATACTGGAACAGCAAAGGTCAATGCTAACTACAGATTACTTTGCCAAAGCAAAATACACCCATATTTATTCCAAACCCCTAATTTTCCAGCTCTTGGCTTAGTTTCACTCATATTAAGTCAACTCACTAGCTTGAATCTCAGATTTTTAAGGTCCTTTTGTTTTTAAAGGAGATGGCATTAGTGTTTTTTGAAACAGCCAAAGTGGCATAGTTCATATATGTATGCAGGTGGTAGAATCAAAATACAAAGTGAAAAATGGTGATAAAGTTGCATCACAGTGGGGGAGAAGGGGCACAGCGGTGACGAGAGATCCTTGGCATCAGCCTCTGGCTGTTGGGTTCAGGGGACGTTGCATTTGTGTGGCAGTGGAAATCTTCCAAGGGCCGTTCTTGGGGGTGAATGAGCAAATCTTGGCTGTGGCAGCTGGTAGAGAGCAAGGACCACAGAGTCCTTTTCCCAGAGCTCTCTGCCCTGCAGTCACGCTTGCCAAAGCAGATACTTTTGTGCAATGGGTATCACAAGTATTTTTTTTAACAGTACATTGTTACAGCAGTTACACTGATCTTGATTGTGGAGTCAATGCATTCATCCTTCAATCACCACAATCTCTGCTGCTTGGTGGCATGTGGAAGCCTCAGCCAGTATCCAAGGGATGTTTTTGTCTTTTGGGTGGGATGAATATGATATTTTTGTGAAATATTAATATTACAACCCCTCAGAAGATAACACTTTTGTGCAAACTTTTCACCATTTGAAACCAGAAGAAAAACATTCAGAGATTTAAATCAACAGTTCTGTCTTATTTTCTTTGCCCAGTTTTAAATATTTCCAAGCATAAGGTTTGTGGAAGCCAGTATGAAATAACATTTTCTGGTTTCAATACATTGTGAGGTAAGCAGTCAGTACTTCCAACTGCTTGTGGGAGGAATATGGAGAGAAAAACCACAAAAAGAATCAGAGGTGACTGCTAGCTCAGATGTATACAAAGATATAAATAAAAATAGTATGGATGTTTTGCCAATTTAAAAGGCTTATTAAAGCTTTCCTAATTTGAGTTGCTGTCACAAGCACTCATACAAAATGTTTTGTGGCAGCTATATATAAGAGCAACTGGAGCTTTGGATCTGATGTAGAAGGAGAATTGGTTTGTAATCTAAATTCCTAGCATTGCTACATTTGATGTCAGGATACTAGCAGCATAGACTCCTTATTAAAAGTACACTCAGTTTTATAGCCACTGTTCCCTGGATTATAATTCAACAATCCCTAAAGCCTTGAAATATAAAATTTCAAAGTTTTTGTTCTGCACTTTTAAATACATTGCCTGGGAAGTGTTTTACCTTTGGTCTGTTTTGTCAGTGTTTCAGTGAGTTGTACTCTTGGCTACTGGACTGTTTGTGTGAAATGTTACAAATCATTTGGCTTTTTTGTGGTGGTAGGGGTTTTGTCCTGAACAGCTTCAGTTTTTCATTCCAAGTTTCTTGATCACTAGGGTTTGCACCTTGACTGAAAAAAAGTGTGGTTTTAGCAGAAAGTTGGTCTGTAAGCTGGCTTCAGGAGGAAATTGGTCATACCTTCAGCTGTTACTTTCAGTCCCTTTGTGCACAGGGTTCATGTTGTGTAGTACAGCACTGGTGGCGTATCATTGCAGAGCAGTGTCATATTTTTTCCACTCTTTAGGTTCTTTAAATTTTTAGGAGCTACTTTTAAAATAGCTTATTCTTACATTTTTCTATGTAAAATGACCTCAATTCTGCTTTTTATTCATCCAGTCTGATAGCTGAAGTTTCAAGTAAAAAATTTGCCTAAAACTTTGAGCAAGCAATAGTCTCAGGTAACAGATGTCAGTCAGATCATCACTCACATTTACACAGTGCTATGGGTAGCATGTGTGTTTGTTGGAACAGGATCTGAGCCGATTGCAGGGCAACCTGAAGACTACAGTACTGTGGTGGGCCAGCATGCATGGGAAAGAGGAAGATATTCCAGGCTGAAGCTTCTCACACAGGCCTCTCCAGTGTGTGTGCAACAGAGGGGGGCTTTGAAAGTAGCACAGAAGAAACAAGACAATCGGCCTATGGCTGAGGGAGAATCTGGCAGGCTTAGTAGATGCTGTTGTCTGGTCTGATTTGTCACTCTGCCTGTATATTCCTGTGGAAGTTGGTTTGATGCTGGCAAGGATGGCAGAGAGGAGATGGGGGGAGGACATAGTCTCTTCTCAAAGACAAGGGAACTTCAGCAGAGGAGTAGTCTGCTGGAGAATGGTCTCTACATATTGATACCTGAGAACGTGATGGCAGTGTCCAGTGGAGGTGCAGATGTGCAGATCTTGGTGAGGCAAGCTGTGGTCCTGCTGCCTTCTGCTAACCCAGGCAGACACCCTGTAGTTTATCCAAGGCAGCCATTTCCTGGCATAGCAAACGGGATGGGCGTCCAGGGAAGTGTGACAGTGCCGACTTGGATGGACTTAGTGCTGCAGTGGAAGCACCTCCCAGGCTGGGGCTGCTGGCAAGCAGTGTGGTAGTCACCACCCTGTGTAATGAGATGTATTTATTTCCTAGGAAATGTGCCAAATAAACGGAGACCCATCAACATGTTCTTATTACAATGGTTTCTTTTTGTAGAACTACAGTTTTCAGGTCACTGGCTCAAAACTGCAGGAACTAGCATTTCTAGTGTCTAACAAAATGACAAGTCCTCCTTCCAGTGAAGCCCTGACTAATGTTTTGTGTGCACTGTAGAACTCTTTTCATAAAACAGACAAGAATGAAGATAATTTTTGATGCTTTTGAAACTCAAGGCCTTGTCTAAAATCCAAGAATATCAGAAGAGTATTGGGACCTTTCCCACTGTTTTCAAAGGCATATAAATCTTTCTTTGAAAAAATCACCTAAAATATGATTGCAGGATATCTTGTGTACAGATGTACTGCTTCATGAAATCCAGAGAAATACAGAATAAAAAAAAACCTAAAAGATGCTGTACCACTTACCTAGAATGCAAGACCTAAAGCAGAAAAGTGATGCATGGAGGAATGGGTGAGTTTGCTTCAGGGATGAGGACAACGCTGAATGTACATTCCATCCTGGGGGATTGTCCTTGTCTAGGAGCTCTGTATTCAGCTTTCTTAATAGCTTTTGAAAAATTTAGGTAAGCAGAATTTCCCAGAATATTGTGATTTAGGCAGGTCATATGAGGCCTAATGTAGTGGATGGGGGGTGATTCCATCTCCTGTAATGTTTTCCAACTGATGGCAACTGCAGGGAAACCAGCACTTTGCTTCCTGGGGGTGAGGACTGGGCCTAGGGCTGCTTGCTTTTTAACAGTGGGTGTAGGAACAGCAACCTTCACACAACAGAGGATTCATTTATCACTCTAGTTTTGCGGTCTGTAAATTTGAGTTCTACAGCCTTTGAAGCCCATATAGGAAAGACCCCATTTCTGGTTTTAATTCTATTGCAGAAGGTGGTAGTTTTACTTCATAATGTAACTTTTTTTACAGGTGCAGATTCACTCTACAGAAATAGTTTCTCAAGCCTCAGCGATGAAAAGCTTAACTCCCCAACTGCATCTACTCCAAGCTTGCCATCTCCATCAGTAACTCCGTGTAAAGGTGTGCTGAATTTTAACTCTTGGCATTTCTTCTTAATTCTCAACTATGTAGGCTTATTTCTGAGAGCCATGGTGCACATGCATGCCTTGACTTTTCATTTTCTTTTAAAAGAGCAAAACTGAGGATTACTGTTGAGCATATGACAGGTTCAGGTATTATTGTCTTGATTATAAACATCAATAGCACACTGCATCTACACTTTTTTGCAGGCGACCTGGCAACTCTTGGTTTTGAAACACCAAGCTAAAGTCTGTTTTCTGATTGAGGAATTGTGGTACTAGTTGGAGAATACTACACTTAAGAATTAACTTGTGTTAGTTCTTACTGAAGCAACTAAGTAGCTTAAGCATCCCATCTACATACAGAAATACTTTGCCCAAATACAGGCCTGCAGTAGGTGTCTCCTTCAAAGCCATATGCTGCTATTCAAGTTAACAAAATTAGATCCACATAGACCTTGCACTGCTGAGATAGCCCATGTATCCGTAATTCCTTCCTCCTTTGTGGCTGTGAAGCCTTGTAGCTTCCTTCTGAAAGGAGGTTGTAGTGAGGTGGTTGTTGGTCTCTTCTTCAAAGTAACTAGTGATAGGATGAGAGGAAATGGGCCTAAGTTGTGCCAGGGGAGGTTTAGAAGGCATATTAGGAAGAATTTCTTTCCTGACAGAGTGGTGAGGCATTGGAGCAGGCTGCTCAGGGAGGTTGTGGAGTCACCATTCTTGGAAGCATTCAAAAAATGTGTAGATGTGGCACTTTGGGACATGGTTTAGTGCTCATGGTAGTGTTGGGTTGACAGTTGGACTTGATGATCTTAGAGGTCCTTTCCAACCTTTGATTCTATGCTATTTCAAAGTGGCTTCTGTCTTGCAGGTGATCTAACTCTCCAGGAACTGGTTTCATTCCAGTTAACTCAGATTAACCCTGGAGTAGACATATCAATAAATGAACAGTCAGGTGCTACTGGTGCTTTTGTTACAATTAGTCTTAGATGCATGCTCAAGAGCTTTTCATGCTTTCATGTCTCTTCCACAATGACTAGTCATAAAAAAATCAAGTTAAATGTTTTCTTTTTAATGAGCATGATGTCAGGGAGAAATGAGAAATAGTTAAGTGTCAGAAAAAAAATGTTCAGTTAAACTGGCAGGAGATATTTGGCAAGGAATTGCACTAAAGGTCAAGATGCTCTTCCTAGTGAAAAGACAGAAGGACAGAAATAGTTGAACTGGCTTGGAATAGATGACAGAAATAAGATAAGGAAGCCACTTGCAGCAAAACTAGATCAAATGGAACCAGTGGTGTTCTTAGGTCTGGGGATTTAGGTGGATGTTTGGATCCAAATTTACAGGGTATGGACCCAGATCAAAGCATCTGACATCATAGCAAACCAGTGATACTGACATGATTTGGGTAGGACTGGGAGCTAACTGAGTGGGGTTTGATTAGGGCCATGACTGCAGTATCTGAATAGATGTAATAAGGAAGATTCTCATTGTAGCAAGGATGTGGATTAGTTGATATCTAGCATGTATGATGCCACTGAAAATGATTTGGGGCATTGTGTGGTTCGTGTCACGTCTAGGAATTACCTACTCTATTTTTTCAGCAAAGCTTGGAGACACAAAAGAACTGGAAGACTTCATTGCTGATCTTGACAGGACACTAGCAAGTAAGTAGATTTTGGGTTTTTTAGTAGTAGGCTATGTCTCACTTGTTAGGTAAAGTAGACTAAATTCTGATCTTTGCCTGAATGCTCAAGGCTGCAGTTTAGTGTGAGACAGACAAAGGCTGCACTCCAGTGACCCCCTGTCCCCAGCATTGAGGCAGCTGCAGTTCACCCCTCCTTGACAGTGTATAGATCAAATAAATGTCACTTCTTTAACTACTCAAAACTCATCTAAAAAGTGGGGGTCTGTTTCTTCATTATAAAGCCAAGGAACTGGAGTAGGATCTGTAGGTGAGGGAAACATTTTTATTCTAGACTTCAAGAAAGAATTAAGAAATGCATATCTGCATCTGACTTAAATGTCAAAATCCTTTTTGTGCTTGCCTTCACCAGGAAAGTAGTTTAGATCGCTTTCAATGTCACTGTGCCTAGAAACTGCATTTTCTAGTTACAGTACTGGTTTCTTCATTATGATTTGTCAAGAAAACCAAACCAAGTAAAAGCGACACCCCCCCCATTCCCAACCATGTACTCTGCCTATTCTTTCTGTTTCTTATTGTGATTTTATGGACATAATACTGATTTTTCTTCACATGGAACCAGAATATAGAGCCCAAAACAAAAAAAATTGTAGGACTGGACCTAAATAGCAACATGAACAAAACCACCCCAACTATGAGCTGAGTTTCTTGTATTCATTAGGTATTTTCCCTTCCCTGTAATTCTTGAAACCTTGGCCATCTGCTTTGGCCTTAGCTCAAGACAGCTGCCCTTAGAGCTTCCTACTTCCCTGTCACCTTACTTGTATCTTATTCCTGGTTTTGCTTCTCTTAAAATATATTTCTAGCTTCCTGACTTGTCATGGATGTATGTTTGAGCCAACTCCATCTTTACCACTGAAACATAATTGACTGCCCTTCTGAAAAACTTCTCAGCTTCTGAAGGTCTGTGCAGGACAAAACCCCAAGGCAGCAAATACATTGTTTTATCTTGCACAGCCACATTGTCCCTAATTCTGGAAGGGCTGCCTGTAGTACGTAGGATTCATTGTCCCCTTGCAAGGCCTATCAAGGGTGAAGGAAGGGTTTGCTACATGCTGTAGTGGTCTCTGGGGGTGTTTGGTGTGTTTTTATCCCCAACTAAGCAAATCTCTAGTGACTGCAGCGCAGCTTCATTTATACAGAGCCACTTGTCTTGCAGTGAAACAAGATCCTTTATCATACACAGAAATTCTGAGGAAACTTCCATCTGATGTTTATCCTCATTTTTGGGGGGAGTTGTATTTATATGCTGAAGGTTACACAGAGCTTCATACAGATGCCTTTTCAAGCCTAATGCACTCAGAGTAATGGCCTTAAATTTTTACACACTAACCTTTTGGCTCTCATGCTACCTTAAAAAAGGCATAATTTTGGCCTGTCAGGCAATCTGGCAAACTGGGCATGGATAGGGTGTCTGGTATGTCAGCAACATGTGGTCTTATTTAATACAGAACTTAATGATCTTTCTTGTTTTCTCTTTCCAGGTATGTGAAATGAATCTTTGGCGTTGTGCTTTGCTAGGAATGTCCTCTGAAAGATCAGTGACATCAATCACTGAGAACTGCTGCCCTTGTCTGATAACTTTGCTACCCACGATACTCACCTTCTGAATACCTTTGTAACATAACCTTTGTAAACTCCTATAAGCATTTAACTGGCAACATCAGTTTTGTTATTTTACAGCAGATGGAATAAGATAACTTAAGTGTTATGGCTGTATTTTACTTTAAAATATAGCTTGAATTTTAATTTAAAGTTGCTTTTATGAAAATATATTTGTAATTTTATATAGTTGAGAACTTCTAATGCTTTTTTCCATTATAATATATTTTTGTATGCAAATAAACCCTGAACTGGAATCCAGATGTCTGGAAGCTTCATATGAACATGTGAACTCTGAAACATAAGTATAAACTAAGCTCTTACTGAAAACATCAAGCTTTGAAATATCTGATAAGGGCTTATTTCCTGTTAGACAATGTGTTATGTTGGCTTCATGTGGAACTTTGTGCTTTTCTCTTTTAAATTGCTTAAATAAGGGAATTTTGTACTATGTAAAATTAGGAAAATAAAATTGGACAAACTGTTACTTCAGATTTGCTTTAATACAAATGCAATAACAGTGACTCAGTACAGATTTGAAAACCAAGACCTATTCCAAGCCTTATGTAAAAGCCAGCTTTTAAATTACATGAAGCAGTAGTTAGGTCAGACATTTAGGCCCATGGGTTTAAAGGTATGGAGATCCTGTAGCCCCAAGAAAAGACTTGAGTGTCTGGATGTTTCTGATACCCTTGGGTCCAAAACAGTCTACCACTCTAAAAAGACTTACTGACCATCAGTGTTATGTTGAAAGAGGGGAAGGTGAACTCATATTTTTACAAGGAACCTGATTCTTTCCATATGCATTAGGCACTGGAGATGTCATTATGTGAGCTCTCCTCCAGCTGCTGCAGGTGTTACACTTGGCTCTGCTTGTCTGAGCTGCTCAGGTGATGGCTCTCTGATCTGTTCAGACTAAGTGGACTTGTTTGAACTCCAGCTCTTGTTTCAACCAGAGCATGCCAGTAAGCAGTTGCAGGAGTGGTTCAGATATTGTGACCCCTTGGTCTGTTACCTTTGAGTGGCTGGAGAATGATGTGCCTGTGGCACAGCTACCAACCAGTTGCATGGGACCTTAAAGGGGATGGATCTGGACTTGCCTTCTGCAGCTAGGGCAAATCCACTGTGTATTTGCTAATGGGAACACCATGAGGATGTTGCAAATCCATCTCCTAGCTCAAGATTTCCTAAAAATTGACCAAAACATTTGGGTCTTATTAAACACCATATGATTCTTTTTTTCCCCCAGGTTTATTCATTGGTAGGAAAATGAAATTCTGTACCAGGTACACTTTAGTCTGAAACAACCTTGAGGTGGCTGTGTGTGGAGTTTTTTTCTCCTTCTTTCAGGCAGAAGTGCAGTGGTGGAGTATTTTCTTGAGAAGAAAAAACTGATTTCAACATTTCCTACTGCAAATTCAGTTGGTAAACTATCCCTTGGGACAAAAATGGTGTGAACTGATTTAGGAGGGTGAAGTTTCATGATGTTGTAGTTTAGCTATAAGAATATGTGAAGGAAGGTGGGGTGGTTCAAGCTTAAGACAGTAATGTGCTACTGCGTGCTCTGGGACCTCAGAGGTTTGTACACAGTAGGAAAACCATTTTGAGCAGCAAGGTAGGCTTGGTCTGGTGGAACCAGAGCACTGTGGAAATTCACTGCTACCGCACTATAAGCACACAGGAGCAAATCCTCCTTTTGGATGCCTCTGAGGCTAGAGGGGAGTCTGACCCTTCCACCCAGTCCCAGATCCAAAGGGGTGTGTTGCTGTGCAAAGCCAGTGAAGGGGATTCCCTTGGCTGGTGTGTAGGACTTAGAGAAGGAAAGGTGCTGTTCCTTTCGGAACCAGGACAGCAGAGATAAGCTTGTGCTTTTGAGAAACCTCATTAGCTTAAAGCACGTTTTTAAAGCTTGAATAGCAGCAACACTTTGGGCTGTTGTTCTACATTTTAGTGCTCTTTGGAGGGATGAATGATGAAGTGGTTGCAAATGGTGGGTGCTATCATCCCAAAGGCAGAATGCCCTGACTAAGTGTGATAAATAATCCATGGGTTTCTATGGAGGCTGCCTCAAGCAACTGTGATGTGTGGGGAGGTGGACAGCTGTTTGTTCCTCGGCTTGGATTGTTTGAGGCATGGAGCACAAGTTTTCCACTTGTTCTCTGCACATTCAGTTGTTGCTCAATCCCAACACTCTGGGCCCATAATCAGTATCTAAAATTGGATGCGTCCCTTTATAGAGTGAAATCACTAAATTAGTACAGTACTTTGGAATGGTAATAAATTGTCTTTACAGGCACCCCGTTTTGAAGATTTTTCCAGTACAAGCAAATGTTTAAAGCAAAACATGTTCCTCATTTTGTGTAATGCCAGTTGGGGATGGAATTGGGGATTAAGTCACCATCTGTTTGGGTTTTTTAATCTTATTTACACATGAACAGGTGGAGACCTCTGCTTGCTTATACAGCAGTTCTGGAGATCATCGTCTGCAAAATCTGGGAGTGTCTTCTGCAGAGCTGTTGATATGAATTCTCTCTGGTTTGCTTAATTTTGAACATCTTGCTGTGTCAGAATGAAGGAAATAGTGTAGATGTCATTTCACTGGGCTATGCTTATGACTTAGGTTCATCATCTAATTACATATGGCACTGAAAAATGCTGAGAAAAGTTCCTGCAATACTTTATCCTCAGTGAGCACTGCTGGAGGCTGAACTGTCCTTACAGACCAGCCTGACTGTTTAGTCCTGGTTTTGATCTCCCTCTCATGCTGCGATGCTGAATTTGGGTTCAGGAGAGAGTCTCAGCCCTGTTGTGCCAACACCACACGTCCAGAAATGGAAACGAGGAGCTTAATCTAAGCAGATGTATTGCCACAGCTTAACCTGTGTAAGGTGAGCCACAACAACTACTTGCATGTATGTTCTTTACCTACTGCAAATTCAAGGTTAAATGGATTAGTATAGCTCAGCCTTCAGTAATGGAGGTTTAATGTGTCTTATCTTAGGTTTGCTATTAACTGTGTGTCCTTGGTGCCATCACCCAGCCTCCACTGATACGTGGTGCCTCATGAAGATTGGCAACGTGCTCATTTTTCTAAGCCCTTAATAAGGGAGAGAGTAGAGCCAAACGAGTTTTTTTGGGTTTTTTTCCTGACTCTGTGTGTGTCTACACCCACTATTGATGTACTGATAGCCAGTGAGTTTTTGGGAGGGAGGAAAACTTGCACTAACAGTGACGGAGCTTGCTTATAGGGAATGGCTCAACCCCTGCTAGCTCCTACAGCCTGTTGTCCCCACGGCTTCCCCCCTTCCCTTGTTATTGATACTTGCTTTGCAGTGCACACTGGGCATGGAACTCATTCTCAGCAGGGTTGCTGGATGCAAAGAGTCAAAAGAGAGAAGGATCCTTCAGAGCTTCATTTAAGCACTGGTTTCAGTAGTAGATGCTTGCAAAGAGAAAAGCCACACAGAGCAATTCTTCCTGCTAGAAAACTTTCATGTCTGCAAGCACAGATTTTTTTTTCTGTTTGTATCATTCACTGTTGCTTTTAGATCATTGTCCAGCTGCTTCATACTTTGTGTGAAGTGAAAAGAATTCACCAGTGGGAAAGGTCCACCCAGTATGGGTCTCTGTGGAAGAACTCGGAAGCAGTTTGTCTCAGATGGTGTTCAGCTCATATGGACACAGCTGACCATCCAACAGGTATTTGCCCTACACTGGAGCCCATCTTACATGAGATTTCATTTATCTGAAGGTGGCTAAATATGCTAGACATGACATCTGCTAGACAGTTGGAGGCAAACTTCCAACATTGTGATGTTCGGAAGCAAATCGAGTATCATAAAGCCAATATGACGGCAGCAGCTCTTGAACTAAATCCAGCTCTGCATACTAAGAGCACTAGCTCCATATTCTCAGTGGGGAAAACTCCTGTCTTCCATGTTACTTTCTACATTACTGACTTCATTGCAGTCTGGCTCACAGCTCTAGCTGTCTAAATAACTTCACAATAATGTAAGATGATCCTGGCTGCTATATCTCATTGGCTTAGAGTTGTAAACCAGATCTTTTCAAGGTCCTTTTCTTTCCTACAGACTAAAAGCTATCAGTTAAATGCTGTAGGTTGGCTTGTGGGATTAAAACAGGCCACTGAATACAAAGAGACGCTAATGCCTGCCTTGCTTTTGCTCTTTCATGTTGATGTTCTGGAAACTAAACTATTCTTCAGCTCAGCAGTTTTCACAACTGAAAAAAAAAAAAAAGTCTTGCTAATTGTCCTGGTTTTGGCTGGGGTAGAGTTAGTTTTCTTCCTAGGAGCTGGTAGAGTGCTGTGTTTTGGATTTAGGATGAGAATAATGTTGATAACACACTGATGGTTTTAACTGTTGCTAATCCATGTTTATATTAAGTCAACGAGTTTTCAGCTTCTCACCCTGTCCTGACAGTGAGAAGGCTTTAGGGGCACAAGATGGGAGGAGACACAGCCAGGACAGAAGACCCAAACTGACCAAAGAAAGATTCCATACCATATGACATCATGCCCAGGCTCAGGGACTGGGTGGGCATCAGCCAGTGGGTGGTGAGCAGTTGTATTGTGCATCACTTTTCTTTGGTTTTATGAAGTACACCAAATATTGTAAAAGGCTTTTTACTTGGGCTTCTTAACTGCCTAAAAAAAAAGCATGTGTGTCAAAATAAAACTGCCTATGACTGGCCTTGGAGCGTAACAGTTTCTGGGGCTGGAAGAACAGAGGCAAAACTACCCAGCTGGCCACGGTTACCTGTTTTGGGGGTTTTCCATCACATAGTGCAAGCTCAGAAGCTTGCTTCAGCCCTGTGACTTGGGGCATCTGTTGTCTTCTCTGTGCTGGGGAGGGTAATAGCTGCTAGTTTGGCACTGCTGGGCTGTGTGGTAAGTGCTGAGACCACAGCCTGGGTGCTAAGCCTACACGAGATGCCGCAGGACAAACCCACGAGAACTATGTGGTATGAAGCAGCGTTGCCAGAACAAGCTGGAGGAGTTATGTACTCCTTGTCCTCACTGCTGCCACCACGCTGCCTGCCAATTCCCACTGTGTCAGGCAGGGTGCGAAGCTCCAGTCAACTCATTTGGCAGAACCAAGGAAGTGACAGGAAGTCTCAGGCTGGTTGGTTCTTGATGTCATGGTGCAGATCTCCAGGCATTTGGCCTCTGGCTTTATGCACCCTCAGTCTCTTGTCTTGTGCTGCTCCTTACCACTGCTCTAGCAGCCCAGCTA